TAGTCAATCTGCTTTCAAAACACAGGGTGGATTCTCTAAGTGGAAAAAAAATTAAAAGTTAAATGCACATGAAAATAGTGACAGTCGTCGTGAGTCATTTGCTGCTTGGAAAGAAACTGAGCACCAAATTTGTTTTCAAAGTGGCATTGATGAAGAGCTGCAAAGGCAAATTCAACAAGAAGAAAATAAATGAAGAGATGTACTGCGACGGTTGCTAGATTGTACACAATATTTAGCTTCTCAGAATTTTGCATTTCGTGGTCATACTGAGAACATAACCTCAAACGAGAACCCTGGAAATTTCCTGTCACTTTTGCAGTTATTAGCAAAGTATGATCCAGTATTGAGTATTTAGAGCATGTTAAAAACAAGCAAACGTCAACATCTTATCTTTTTCTTGAAGTCCAAAATGAGTTTATAAATCTCATGGCTTCACATTTGCGAAATTATTGTTTGTCAGCAATTCATAGAAACAAATACTATGGTATTCTGTTTGATTCCACACCTGATTTAGCCCATCATGAGCAATTAGCCCAAGTGATTCAGTTTGTTGACATTGACTTTAAGACAAGAAAAGTAGAAATCAAGGAGTCATTTATTGACTTTATACAGATAAAGGAAAAAGACGCTGCTAATACTGAGAAAACAATAAGCACAAAATTAGAAACGGATGAAATTTTATTGAGTGATTGTTGTTCACAGTGTTATGATAATGCTGCCGTCATGTCAGGTCATCTGTCAGGCGTTCAACAAAGAATTTTGAACAGAAATTCAGAAGCAGTGTTTATAAACTGTGACAACCATAGTTTGAACTTAGCATGTCTTCATGCTGCAAGTCAGGAAACAACAATTATTACCTTTTTTTGGTATGATTGAAGCCATTTATAATTTCTTTGCTCATTCAACAACTCGATGGGACGAACTGCAGCAGGAGCTTAAGATCTCTGTCAAGCATGAATCAGAAACACAGTGGAGTGCAAGAGAAAAGGCAGTAAAAGTTGTACATGAAAAACTGGAGCAATTAAGTGAGAATGGCAACACAGATGAAACAAGATGTGATGCTCATAATATTCTGCAACACATGGTTACATTTGATTTTCTTGTACTTTTG